TTCAATTCCTTTATGCAGAGCAGCCCAAACTGCAGTTTGATGAAACACATTTGTTTGACTTAACTCTTGCCTCGCCATCGCAGCTAAATCTCAAAGGCCTGTCGGTGTAATGTGGCCCAAAAGCAATTGGGTTAATGAGAGGATATATGTACAAGTGTGGGACTTGACCTGAGGAGCTGTTTTCCATTTGGGTTTGGTCTGCTCATGTTATTAGGGAAACCTTTATTATTGTTGCCCTCTAGTGGGAACCATATAATAGGATTACATTTTATTAGAGCCTCCCAGCATTACCCAAGCACCCCCCTACCCTCCCACCTCCTCTTGTCTCTACTCCCCTCGTAGAAGTGTCACTGACTCCTCTGTCCATTGTGGGTGGGATGGTTCCATTTGGGGCTGAAACAGAACCAACAAGTGGGGAAAGCAAATTATCCAGCAGAGACTGACTTTTAAGAATCACCTGTGCGTGTTGAAGTGAAATCATTTGGTCAAATAGCACAGAGACACATCCAGCAGCAGACAGACTGTATGTGCAAGGCAGTGACAGCATGAGACTGAGACACGCAGAACCTTGCAAAAACTATTCATGCCCCTTGAGTCTTTTTCACAGTTTGTCACCTCACAGTGACAAACTTCACTGTGTTTTACTGGGATCTTATGTGACAGACTAGCACAAAGTGAGTGGTGCATAATTGTGAAGCAGCAAGGAAAATTATACGTGGTTTTCAGAATTAGTTATGAACAGAAAATAAAGTTATGTGTTTGTATTCATTCCCTTTTACTGTGTTCCCATACAATCTGGTGTGACCAGCTACTCTCAGAAATCCCTGAATTAGCAAATAAAAAGCATCAGAACAACAAAGAAACTCACCAAACAGGTCAGGGATGAAGTTTAAAGCAGAGTCAGGCTACAAAACCTAATCCCAAGTTTGAGCAACTCACAGAGTTCTTTTAAATCCATCATCCTAAAGCAGAATGAGAAGGACCGAATTCTAAATGTACCAGTGCATTTTTCTACTTATGCACTCGTAAATAGAATGACAGGAGGCAAGGAGAGCATTAATCACCCAAGTGGCTCATGACAACTCCGGAGCAGAGATCAACAGCTCAGGTGGGAGAATCTCTAAATAGGAAAACTATTACTACTGTTCTTAAGTGGAAAAGGACACACAAAAAAAGGCAGCGTTAAAAGAAAGTCATTAGAGCTTTTTTAAAGTTTACCATAAACCACATGGAGGACACAGCACAACATGTGGTAGACGCTCTGCTCAGATTGGACCAAAACTCTCCTGTTTGGCCTTCCTGCCAAATGCTTTGTGGGAAAGAAAACTAACTCTCCACGTCACATTGGGCACACAGTAGTAGTCACTATGAAACATGGCGAAAGCATAGTGCTTTTCTTCAGTGGGGAAACCAAACCTGGAAAGAGTTGATGGGAATAAGGTTAGAGGGCAATTGGAAGAAAATCTATTAGTGACTAGAGAAGACTTCAAACTGGGCAGAAGCAGCAGGACAACAACTCTATGCATTCGAGCTACAATAGGATGCCACAGATCAAAAAATTGACATGTGTTAGAATGGCCCAGTTCAAACCCGGGTCACAATGCAACTGAAAATCTAAAGCATGACCTTTCTAACTTCCATCCTTTCCATGTCTTTGCTTCTCCTAATTTAATAAAGAGGATAATCTCTCATAGCTCTAAATCCATTACTGTTAAACCCTCCATGATCACGATACCTTGACTACAACATAGCAAGAGCTGAGCTACACTCTCAAACGCAAAATTTCTTTGCGCCAAAGATAATATTTGACAAACAATTCTGGCCTAAAACTGTGCAAGCCTGGAGGGCAGAGTGAGTCAGGATCTGGAACAGCTTCAGCACTTTCCCTTTATCCATCCCACTCCCTTATATAACCACAGGCCATTAGAGGGGTGTGGTGAGTGTAGAGCAGCAGTTACTAACAGGGTCGGAGGCAAAACCAACATCTCTACCTTACACAGACTTTAAGCAGAAATGAGTCCAAGCTGTTTAAAAGCAACTACACAGACACTGTGCTTACACATAGCTGTTTAAGGACAACGTGAAGAACAAAAAGAACATAGTTAGTGTTTGTTTATACATAATAAATCGTGCTTCAACTGCACACTACAACTAGAGGTGAAATGCAAAGTGCACCAGTGTGCAAAAGTCATGAAAGGAATCAGGCGAGCAATATCTGTTCGACATTCTGAAAATTTGTAACATTTCTTTACATTTTTTGGAGAGGAGGGGGTGTGAAGTGGGGGAGAACATTGACAGATTTGTTGTGCTTATTTTTAGTCCAGTTGTCTAATTTGTTGAGTCACTTCCAGAGTCCACAGAGAACCCTAAACAAACTAGTAACTGAGCAGTTTTATATTTAATATTTAGACTCTGTGTGGTAGCTTGACATAAATATGCAATTTATACCAATGTATTCAGCTGAATCTAAAGAAAATTCAGATGACTGTGTGCACGAAAAGGGCACTTTGGCATAGACAAGATTATTCACAAAAAGATGTTAGTGGACATATTGATGCACAAAAGATGGAGAAACTGAATGACGCCGTGTCTAAAATGTTTTAGGTGTTTTCTCAAAGTATTTCTCAAAGATAATTTTTCAAGCAACCAAAATACAACTTTCATAGTTGGAAACAAGTGGTGAAAAAGGCAAAAAATCCTGTAAAAAAAAATAATAATAAAGTGCCTGATATTTAAAGAAAAACACGAAAACTTGCATAACTATTGATTAATAGCACTATGTAAGACTAAAAGACTGTCTTAACAAGAGTTAGAAGAAAAAGAAAAGCTGAGTTTTGCTCCTGTGATTTCCCCCCCCCCCTACATTTCCATCTTTTCTCATTCAGAGCAGAAAAGTTTTACCTTCTCTTCAAATCTTAGCGTCGCCATAAACTGTAACATAAGGAGTTATCTGATCATATTTGATTTGCCGCTTCTTCTCTGAGACATTGCTGGAGGCATTTTCTCAAAATTTCAGCAGGTAGAGTGAGTTTTCCAGGCTTGGTCTTTTTTTTTCTTTTTTTTTTTCCTCTCCAAGCAAAAGTATTTATAACCAGATGATGTCATTCAGGTCAGGCGATGTCTGTCTAAGCTAAACTTACATCTGCAACTAATCTGGATAATTTGACCACCAAAGAAAAAAGAAAAACCTTCAGCCATCCGCCGCTTGCATGTTGTAGTTGTTTTAAGTTAGCTCTAACTGAAGTGAAACACTTCACTTCAGTGACTTTGTAACAATAGCAGTAAACTGCTATTGTTACAAACTTTCTCATTCGTTTGCATGTGATGCATATAAGAATTTCATAAGGTTTGTGCTTTCCTTTGTTTCTAAAATGGATAACGCCTGGATTTAAAACACTCATGCGGTTTCAATCAAGCACATTTAATCACGTTAGTGGTGTAAAAACTAGCATCCTTTGTTTACTTTGCTATTCAATCCATTTGTGAAATGCAGGAATATTTGGATAATTATGGTCATTATTTATACTTTTCCTAAAAGCATTTATTTTGTTTTGTCATCTGCTTTGAACTACCAGTCTAATGTATTTTCCAAGTATACTTTTTTTTTATTCCCTACTCGAAAGAACACTAAAATTTAAAATGCATTTGTAAATATTTGCCTTACTAGGATGTTTTTAGATCTTTTTTCATGTGTTACAGCCTCTGTTTTTGGAGCAGTGTTTTAGCGATGTCTGCGATGGACTGGTGACCTGTCCAGGACGTACCCCGCCTCTTGTCCATTGACCAGCACCAGCACCCTTGGCAAACCCCACAAGGGATAAAACATGTTGGATAATGGATGGGTGGTTTCAGATAAGCAATAGTGTCTTTCAAAAGTTGTAGAACCATGTAAATATGGTATTTCAGTACCACTTGTGCATGATAAGAAACTCATAGATTGTATTTTATGGGGAAGAAGAAGTTTCTTCCACATGTTTCTCATTTTCCCCTACATTGTGTTGTATTAAATTTTACATGGGACTTACTTTGGCTTTAATTCCACAATTGTTTTTTTTTTTTTTTTTTTTTTTTTTTTTTTTAATTTAGGGGTGTCGGCCTAAAAGAGGCACAGCACACTTTTCAATTCTTTACTTGCAATTAGTTTAGAAAACAATGAATCAGATTCCTTTCACTTCAACAGTTAATAGTAACTTTGTGTTAGATAAATCTTATCAAAATGCAATGACGTTTGTGCTTGTAGTTTTAGAGACAGCAAAGAAACAAGTTCGAAGGGTATAAAAACCTTTTGCAAGACAGTTAGTCCGCATGCTATTACATGTTTTAAAACAGAGAAGAAACAATAGTTGATGCTCTCAACAGTAGGGGGCGTAGGAGAGGTTTTTTTAAGCTTTGATCCACAATGAATGGCACTGAAACAACTAGAATGTAAAATCTGTCCACTCTATGGCCAGATGTGCGCCGAACACAGCAGCACTCTCAGGTCAGACAGAATAATTATCATGTTGACTTAAGAACGCTTTTAAACATGCGATTCCTTTAATGTGTCCATCCCCGGAGTAATTCCAAAAAATCCTCAGAAGTGCCTCAATCTTCCTGAAATCATGCATGGTTGAACATTTGAAATGAGCTCGCACATCACCCCCAGGCACTGATTCAGACTTGATTGAGGAAAGGCAAGCTGCAAGTACTTATTTATACAACTACGTCATCTGGAGGCTGTCCAGAAGGAGGAAAGCGGCTAAAAAGATTGCACAGGAGAGGCTTATAGGGGAGTAAGAATTCCATTAACCACATTCCATTAATTTAATATGCTGATGCTGGACTAATCAACAAGTTGTCTGCTGCTGCATTGTGTCTTTATAGCACGGGGGTTTGGGGGGGGGAAGGGGGGATAAAGAAGAAGTAGATGGGTTTGGTGTTTGAGAGGAGAAGAGGGGAAGGGGGTGGAAATCAAAGTACTCCACCAACAATCTATATAATTATCGTCATCTCCTGCTTTTCCTCTCTGGCAAAGAAACACTCCATCCATTTGTAGAAATCGCCCAGGGGAGCGTTACATCAAAACTAATCATAACGATTAAAATCAGCTTCTCTGCAGGGAGGAGGCAATAGGGAAGTTAGAGGCAGGGGGTGAGGGTGTTGTAAATATAGGACAAAATATATGTTATTTGATTTTTAAGAACATAAACTCAAGAAAAGACTAAGGCACCACTGCCGTGATCACTTCCATTTACTCGCAGTTTTATTCTGCATATTGGCTTAGACTTGGGCAGAGACATGAGCTAATTGTATCCTGATCTTTGCCTGGAGGGGTTTCGGGAGCCCTGGAGCAAGTATTCTCTGTATTTTGTTCTGTCTACCTTAGCCAAGCTATTGCATTTCTCGCTGGTGTAGGAAGAGAGGCAGATCTCAGGCCAAATCGGAGGAGGGGAAAAAAATAAGGTTCACAAAAACCACTTCATGTTTCAGGTAAGCGAAGATTTATTTCTGTTTGCTGTTATTTCCGAGGCTGGGTGGACTGGGACATCGAGGCGCAGCAGCAGCTTTTACGCATGTGCCAAGCGATTCGAGCCGCACTAGTTCTTTAGAAACATTTAACCACTTCCTGGCTATTGTTCCGTGGTTAGAGGGCGACGAATTTATTCGCGTGGCAACAACAACTAAAGCAACAAACGGGTTGTCGGTGCGATCTCGTCGTGCGAAAACGTTCCGTATAATATCCGACGCGTGAATTTGCTCCTGGCGCGTCTCAGCTCCCGATCATATCCCCGTCCGTCTTCCTCGTCACCGCTCCGTGTACACAAGTTGCTCACAACTTAGTTAAACGCAGTTTTGTGTCGTTTAGGAACGGCGTTTGAACTTTGTTGTATTTTTTTTTTCTCCCCGTCGTGAAACATTTCCATTTCCTGACTGCCCCAGATCGTGGAATGAAAGACGCCATTGTGGAGTAATTTCGCCGCAGGCGTATTTGTTATTCTGTATGACAGGATACAAACGTCAGTGCAGAATATGGGAATCATCCGTTAATAAAAAGCAAAGCTGTGTTAAGAGTTGTAGCTATGTGGAAAAAGGCAACTATGAGAGTCATTTCTGTTTTGTTTATATATATATATATATATATATATATATATATATATATATATATATATATATGGTTGGCATTATGACCGCGCTGTGTGTTAGTTCTCATCAGCAAACGTTATGACTAAAGTGGTACAATATTTGCGACTGGCACTAAAATACTGTTGGAATTGCATGTACACTTGTGAGCACTTACTGCAAATACGGTTTGTTTGTTTTTTTCTTGTTTTGTTTTGGGGGTTTTTTAAATGCAGATTATATTAAGAACGTGTTAAAAGAACAGCCGAATATAGGATGATTCAAATATCAGTGGGAGAAAAAGTGAAGTAACACCAGTGCCAGAGTAAAGAAACACATGTCGGTGAGATGGTGGCTGATGAGGACCAATCACCTGATGGCGCTGTTTCAAACCCGTAACATATGAGATGACTGCAGTTTATGATGATCACTGAAATTATACTACAGAATATCAACTTTGATACAATATGCTAACCGACATACACATTCCATATACAGTTTCCATTAAAGGATTTCATAAACATATCATAGGGATCAGTTTCATTTTAATAAAATGTCGTTGTTTTTTAAATTATGCATTTGAACCGTTATTTTTGCTGTGTTGTACTGAAGAAATAATTGTATAAATTAGAAAAAAAAAAGAACAGTTCTGCACAAATATTTATAATGTATTGTGGACTTTTTCTAAATCACTCAGTTAAAGTTATACAGACATGCCGAAACATAAACAACATAAAAGCTTCCAGTGATCGGCGGATAAAGGCAAATTAGAAAGTTGCATTTCAACCTCATGTCTTCTACAGCTGTGTTCTAAAGCTATAGAAGCTATAGAAGACATGATATCAACAAAGTTCCTGACATAACTACGGTCGTGCATTCAACCGTTATGTGAATTTAAAGATGTCATTTATGATGTTTGGTTTCCTGGCAGAGACTTGACTCTTACGCCTCGTTCAAACATTTTCAGCAGGGTGAAGGTCAGAGTTTTGATGAGCCCATTTCAGAAGTTTAAAGGAATAGTTAGAATTGTATCAACATCTAGTCAAATGGAACTGTGACTGGCTTTATCCAGCTTGAAACAAATAATAAAGAAAATACATAAAATAGGATAGATGTTATTAATTTATGCTTTCACTGGTAGGTTTGTCACAATATTCACAGTCAAATAACTTCTATGTTACCTTCTTAAAGTTATGTTAGTGATGGTGTGTCTTTCCACCTGATCAGCTGATCCTCCTGCCACCAGAATGATTTCCACACTATTAATGCCACACAAATGCACCTTTTCATTTTTTTATTCTTTTAAAACAAGTGACACCTTGTTACCAAATAAAAGTTTATTAGGCAGACTTTGAGTCGACTGACTTATGTTCTCTGTAAATGGAGGGAAAAAAGTGCTATTTGATCTGAGTGACAATAGGCATGTTTGGAGGAGTCAGGATGAGGCTTTGAAACTTTTGAACTCGGTACCAGCTTTAGCAGCAGTATCATGCTGAGGGTCTGCATCAGTGCATGGAGCAGTGACAAAAAAAAGACAACCTCAAACTTTGTCAACCGAAGTAAACAGCAGTAGCTAGTTTAAACTTGAACTAGTAACTGCAGGAACATTATCCCAAGTACACATCAAAACTGGTCTTGGAATGGACAAAGCAGGCCATGTTTGTGCTTGTGGACTATCCCTGATCTTAACCCTGTTAAACATATGAAGGTTGTGAGGTGCGGCGGTGGCACAGGGGTAAAGCACAACCCATTTATGGGGGCCTTAGTCTTCGACGTGGCCATTACAGGTTCGAGTCCTGGCCTGATGACCTTTGCTGCATGTCTTCCTCCTCTTTTACAACATTTTTTTCCTGTCTGACCACTGCCAAAGGCCACTAGAGCTGACTATACTGGTCCAACCCAAAAGAGCAGACCAGTTTAAAGGAGCTCTACCAGTTTGGATTAGAGCAGCAAATTATCCAGGTAGAATTATACCAGGCAGGACCTTGTTGTTGACGGCTATAAAAGTTTTATGATCAAGAATCAACATTCCGAGCGACACTCATCCCAACATTTTTGAGCTTGTTTGTATATGTTTGAGCTTGTATATAAAATAAGATCACAGTTCAGAAAATCCACATAAAATTCAAACATGCACATAAAATGTTTGCCTTTAGAAATCACTGAGGTTGTATGTTGTCGTCACCAGTCAACCTTAAAAAAAAAAAAAGTCTCAGTCAAAATAAATAATTTAATGCCAAAACTGATGTGAATATTCATGCTGCATGTAAACTTCTAGCCTGTAGTTTATCTCTGCCACTCCTGCGCCCTGGGACAGTTTGATTTGTGCCAGTGAACATGCACCACAGTCTGCCATAGCCTGCAGCACTGGTTGGACTTTCTTATCTAAGATGTCATGCTGTTGCACAGCTCTGGTAGATCCACCAAAAAATATTGTGAAATAGGAAAGCAGTTGAAAGAAAACTGAGGTTTTCTTAATCCTTTACGATTATTATCAAAGCAAGTCACATGCGAGTCATTTGGACGTTCACCTTTAAAACTTTGTGCCAGTTAAGTTCAATGGACTCTCTATTGCAGTTCTCGGTATTTCAATAAGGAATTTGATTTCAAAATGTAAGTTATGTTCTGCAATATTCCCTTGCAGAAATGTATTGATACCTTCAATACATGTCTATTTTTCATACTGGGGACTTTATGCCACTTATAATTTAAGAGCAAAACATTGCAACAAAAACATTTTATGACCCCATAAAAAAAAAACAAAAAAAAAAACAAACTTGTTTTTTAAATGCCATCAAAGAAGAAACCTCTGTCATCACTGCTCTACTGTAACTTGTCCAAAGTGACCACTAAACCAAGCTTCAAAATCTCCCCCAGGCCATGTTGTTATGATGCTTTGCTACCTGTTATTTTGCTCCCTTTACAACAGGCGCTGACTTAAAAGTGAGCCAAAACTGTGTAAGCCGTGAATGTGTGTGGACATTTGAAGCAGATAGCTACAGGCAACGGAGCAGAGACAGCCCATCCAGATTATGTAAATACTGGTCTGCCGTGCCTCAAACTGAATGTTAATGCTCTGTTCTGAAATGCTAATTATGTGTTGTGTGATATGTCAAAAATAGAGACGAACCGCATTGTTGGAGAAACGACTGAAAAGTTCATTTGTTACTCATGCAGCTCCTGAAAGGCTGCATGATGACTCTGGTTGCCTTGTATCTTTCTGTAGTCGCTGAACAGCTCTGATGTTTGTCTCTAGAACTTTGAAATTACCTGCATGTAGAAGTGCATCTGGACACATCAGGATGTTATCAAAGCATTATTTATTCAAGTAATTCATGTGAAAAAGTGAAACTCATATTTTGCTGATTCATTGCACAAATAGTAATATATTTCAAGCATTTTGTTTATATAAATATAGATTGTGAATTTACATGATTATGACTTAGAGGCAGTGGAAAAAAATAGCTTCTTAGAAAATTAGAATACCACATCAACTATAAAAGCAGATTTTAAGTTTAGAAATGATTTATTATAACCCACACAGTAGTTGTCCATTACTCATTTGAACTCTTTGTTAAGAAAGTAAGCCTCAAATGATCATTGCTAAAGAACTTGATCATGTAGAGAGGGCTACTATCCAAACACAATCATGGAACGTTTAGTGGAAGGAAAAATGATGAGTTAAACAAAACCTTTTCAAAATTCGGAGAGATATTCACAGGTTGTGGACTGTGTCTGGACTAAGTGCTTCTGAGCTTCATACAGATGTATCAAGGATACAGGCAACAATTATCAATGTCAGAAAATAATGTCAGACGTCTTGAGCATCTCGTAGATTGCATTAAGTCATCCAATTTGCAGCAATCCCTGCTTTTTAGCATACATGTGTTGATACATAATGTTTGTATGAGGTTTGTGCATTTTATGGCACAATAAATATGAATGAGTTGCATAAATGAGACAAACCTCCGTCACATTATTCCTTACTGTGAATCACTGCAAGTAAAGCGCTACTATGGCTGTTATCCTCTGCACGTACCTCCTAATGGTTGCGATCTGATCCAGTTGCAGATCCTGGTAACCTTTTGACCTTCGAGCTGTTCTTAGGTTAAAAGTGTACATGAGGCAAATGTGATGCAGGCATTCGCTCACGAAAAGGTCCACTGCATGTTGTTTTGCAGTATTTCCAACTGATTTTGTGATATAGGAAGTTATTTCCTCAACCCCCACCTGCCACCCACCCAAACGCCTGTTCTTTTTCACTCCCTCTTCTTTCTCCCCTGCAATTTTCCATAATGCCTCACAGATTTTACACTCAATCCACCTTTGCGATGACAAGGCTTTGAGGAAATCCAATTCCACCGAGCTGTTTTCAGAACTTACTCTCCACAGGCACACACTCACTTCCGCACACACACACTCCACCATCTCCACAAATTAGTCAGGGAACAAATTACCTGCATTCTGAGTGTGATCCCACGCACTTTGCCGGCTGCCTTACACAGGTCCCCTTTTGAAGAGCAGCCATGTGATTTCTCTCTCTTTCTGCCCCGCAGGCCCCCTTGCCTTCTGCGAGGGATTCTGGAGTTGAATTTTAAAACTATGTATGGCTGCTGCCTGCGCTTATCAGCGCGTGCACAAGTGGCATGCAAATCAAACGAGGATCACACACCGCATTGGAGGCCTACACTCAAAGGCAAGCTTAATTGCTAATTGGGTAGCTAGGTGTGAAACCCACACTGCCAATGAGAGGGAGGAATGTGGATGTTTTAAGGCCAGTGGTTGAACTAATTAATTTTAATCTGAATAATATTAAAAATTGCGGATTCCCTACGTTTTCTGTAAAGAGGAGAAGAAGAAAAAAAAACAGCCAGGAGAAGGCTGCAAAAGTTGTTTTAACTGCAATTGGGTGTGTTGTGGTTTGGTTTTGTGCAGTGTGATATCAAAACTGGGATAGTTTTTGCAATGCTAGTATTTGGATCGGAGGAATTCCTTTCACACTGCAGCCTTCATGCTATATAGCCTTTCATCTCAGAAGAAGAAAAGTTTAGGAGGTTTTTGGTCTGTGTTGACTTTATTTAATGGCAGATGGTTATTTCTGTGTAGGGTGAGGCAGTGTCTCCGGTGTCACAAAATGTGTATTTGTACACAAAATTCATTCTCAAGAACAATTGGAGGCAGAGGAGCTTAATACGGGCAATGTGGCTATATGGGTGTGGTACATATGGCCCTCTCACATTCAAAGGGCAGCTCTGGGGTCAAAAAAGAAAGTTCTGCTACCCTGACCAAGTTTTCTATTGCTTTTTGTAGGTCCAATCACTGGAGATGTATTACCCCCCTGTGTAATGCACAATTGAAAGCATTGTAAGAACATGTGGCTGTGCTTAGGATAGAGTTCATGGAGTTCATAATATCCATTTAGTTTAGCAATGCTAAATTAAATGGTCATTTTACTGGTTTTCAATGACACTTGAATAATTGATCTTCTCTTATTCAAAATCTAAAATACATATGTTGGTCAAATTTGAATTGGAAAGCAGTTCAAATTCTGTACTAAAGAGAAGCTCTTTATAACAGCCTGAGATTTATTTAAAAACATTGACTATATTTAAAGTGACCAAAGTTGTATTAATTTTAACTGACTGACTCAAGGCTCCTTCTGATTGTGAAGACATGAATCCAAACATGGATCTTTTTCTCAAAACTGGAAGTTAAATTTTAATTTAATTCTGAATTGTCAAAACAGCAATAATGTCTGCTCAATGCAGAATTATCTGATTTGACCAGTTTAATTTTAGGTTTTGACAATTGTGACAATTAAATATTGTCTATATTTATTAATAAGCAGTGAAATATCTTTAGTTTAGTATTAATATTACTGTTGTGCAGCCTAATGAGTAGTTTTTATTAGTTTGCTCTGTCACAAAATCAAAAACTTAATTCTTGATTTCTAGAAAACAACTACTAATGCCGTTGTAACCTTTAATTGAGTAGCAATGGTGCACAAACTCCACCCCAGTGGGTGGCAGCATTCCACCCACAGTGCAGCATTTTGTCAGTTGCAAAAACACATACAGAGGATGCATTGACAGATTTGAACATTTGCTAAAATGTGATGGATGACAAGACCAAGTTTAGAACCAAAATAAGCCTTAAATTAATTTTCAGCCACACCAGAAGATGTTAATAGATAAACAGATTCCTCTTCAATTAGATGAAGCTTGAGTAATATTACAAAATTCATGGGCAATCATTTAAATCTTATTCAAGATTTAAATGATTAAATCTTGAATTTATATACTCAAGATATTCATACCTCCAAAGACTGCAACTGCAGCAAAAAAGTATACCAGACTCCAGGAGGATGAGTGCATGTAACTATTTTCATATATTTTTACTTCAATTCCACACTCATAAATTACAGTACGTGTTGGTCTGTCACACAACATCGTACTGCACACTAAAGTTTGTTCTTGTGACAAAATTTGACAAGGTGCAGGGGGTTATTAAAACTAAAAGAAGGAATTACATAAAGATTATTCCACTAGATATTATCTTTAACCACAATTAAGAGGGAGTTTAAGATTAGATTGATGGCAAGGAGGCTTCCCATACATATCCCATTCTCCTATATCACTGTCATGTTGGCCCCCTCTTGGTGGCGCCACTGGCCCAGGGCCGGTTTCAAGTCAACACCACCACTGCTCAGAAAATTGATTAATTTAAGTTTTTTAAAAAGAAAAAAAAATAGGAAATCACAGGATAGAGTCCAGGATGTTGACTGGATTCTGTGCATTTTTCTATAATACACAGAGTCCAGTCAACCAGATTAATTGAATTAATTAATCTGTGACACTGAAAAGAATCAGGGCAGGTCGAATACGAGACTGCTGGTCAGTGCGGAGCAATTTTGTGCACACATGTCCATGGATGAGTGTTGGCTCTGTCACTCTTTACGCTTTGCACACGGAGAGACTGTTATCTTGACCGAGGCTTTGACCTGCTGCACAAAAAACAGCTGCTGAACAATGGGGCAGCAGCTTGGGGGCAGGAGGGCACAAACAACGCTCCAAATAGGGCAAAGGTCAGCTGTGGTAGGTCCAGATGTGACTGTTGGCTGGACTCCCCAGAACTGCATGATCCCGCTCCGACAGGCTGCGTTTGTTCTATTCTGAAAATGCGACGCGCATACCTGCCACCGAAACAGCGACAGCCCAAAAAGAGCCGCGGGCGCTACAATGCTAATGTTGTCGGGGGCTTTGACTTCTCCCAGCCACTGCAAAGAAGCCGCTCTGTGTGACAGGCACGGCGCTGCCGCTCTCCCTCCCGATCTGCCGCTTTTCACGCCTTTTCCCGCACATTTTAGCAGGTGCGTTTCAAGAGGAAAGAAGAAGGGGGGGAAAAAGAAAAAGAAAAGCCGAAACCCCTGAACGTTTTACGTAAGTAGTGCAAGTAATGGACGAAACGGATATCATGGACCTAACGCATCAGAAGGCGAAGAAGCGACCGCGTCCAATCAGTTCCGTGGATGAGACGGTGCACGCTTCGCTCAAGCGGCTGCCGATGCGAGCGGCGGAGTGCAGGGAGCCCTCCCTGATGTTCGCTGTCAGAGGAGAGCCTGTCCCTGCAGCGTCTCTCAAGCAGAATGACCACTCGGTGACTTCCTCTCCAACCACAGTGATGCCAGCACAGGTAAAAAAAAAGAAAACAAGAAAAGAAAAAAAAAGAAAAAAAACCTGAAGTTTCTCAGAAGGAATAAAGTAATCGTCGCCTCACTGCTCCTGAAAGCGTTGTAACGTTTTATTCTCCTCGTTTATTATCAACTGCGCACGTATTATTATTATTTTTTTTTCTTTTAAACCTCATTCACCGCGTGTAACCTTTGTAATCCACCTCCACTCGACTGTTATAGCTTCATTTATATTTGCCTTTTTTTTCACTTATACCCTATCTTGAAACTTTTTTTTTTTTTTTTTTTTTTTTTTTAAAAAAAACCAAAGAATCCCCTTTTTGAATTGGAGAGGAAC